AACTGCCTAGCGATAAAATGGTTCCCACTTTTCTCTCTCACTCCTGGTGAATACTAATCCAAAGTGTGACACAGTGAAAGTTCCGCTTGAAATACCCTGTTGGTTTGGGCTAGGGATGTGCTGGGTTTGTATCTCTGCCTGCAGCATAGACAGAAACGATATTTCAGATTCGATGTCCCACATCCCAAATCTGCTCTCACCTCTCAGTTGCTGATTATTATGGGATAGTCTCCTTCATATCATACTGGGCATTTTCCATTTTTTTTTCCAAGAAAGTACTGCACTGTCTTAGTTGACAGATTTCAGCGGGGAGTAAATGGCTGGGAGTACTGAGATGCAGGAGGCTGTTTATTAGACACTTACCTCCTGTGGAGAATGAAATTCAGGCATGAACTCTTTTTCCTACCTTTTCTCGTGGCTAGTGGAGCTGCCTTTCCACTGAGCACCCTGCTGCTCTAAAGCACTACACTTTCATTTTGCACTGTGCCAGGACCCTGGAGTGGTAGCCCCAGGTCAAGACCCACAGTGTGGCAAAGAGTGAGAAAGTCAGGCTCAGACAGGCAGTACTCAGATCAGACAACTCATTTCTCTTACTTCCAGGTCTCCAAGTCGGCTAGAGATGACTGCCTGTGCGATGAGTGCATGCCTACTCTTGAGGCGAATTGGAGGAGCGGTGGGTAAAGTCGTCTGCTGAGAGAAAACATACATGCAGGTCTCTGGATACTGCCACAGCCTCTCTTACCTGAGCTGATGTTAGATGGGTCGTAGCTGCACTGCTGTATCTGACAGGCAGGGTCACAGAGGAGAGAAATCCTGCAGGGTTCAGCTGCATGTATAAGAGCTTTGGATGCAACAAGAGGGACCACATAGCAGAAGCTGCTGCACAAGTCTCACAATGCCTGCTTGCTTCATTTATGTCCTTTCTGCGGAGCTAGTCTGTAGCTCCTACATATTTAGCAAAGGGCCAGTTTAGGCTCTGTTTATGTCCAAATCCATTTTATTTCATGTGCCTTCCCACACAGTCATAGCTGTGTTGAATATACACTGATTTCTCTGTACTACCACTGCCTTTCAGTTTCCTCCTCCTTTTTATAGAATTGCCTACAGGATATACTGCTCTAATCTCCTCAAAGCACTTTGTAAAGATAATGGAGGCACTTAGGGATAATCTCCATGAGGCCAGTAAATTGGTCACAACTAAAGTACTAAGAAACATGAGAACAAGGTGGCTATAATCTGCAGAGGGAGCCTTTGCCTCATTCAGAAGCACAGAGAACTGTGGACACATGAGATAAACCACAGGAGTTTGTTAAAGACTGTCATTTACTGAAAGATGCCACTGGAGGGAGTAAAGAGGAAACTGAGAACAGACCGCAGTATTGGTCTTTCAGTGCAGTATGTGAAGATTGGAGAGAAAAAAAAAGGCATCAAAAGGGATGCTTGACTATGGAGAACAGTTCATCCATTTTTTTCCTCTTTGTTATTAAAAGATTTATTTTTATTATCTCATTATAATTACAGGGTACAAAGCTTGGCAAAAGACTGTCTCATTGAAACGAAAGTCTTCCTAAAGTTTCTGATACCCTAAACTGCATTTCAGACCTCAGCAGAGTTTTGCCGAAAGTTGAATTGAAGTGTTCATGGAACCAGTGGTATTTATATAAAACCAAAAGAAACTTGGAGCTAGGAAAATTCAAGATTCAAGTTTAGGATATGAAGGCAAATAATACAATCTGTCCTTTATTGTAACAAAATGGAAATGGCCATCAGTGTTACTATATTACCGCTTAAAGCGACTATGCCTGAAGAGGTCTCAAGTAAGTAAATCATACAGTTTTCTGGAACAGCTTGTATGAAAATTATCCTCCACCGGTTGCCACTGTCCCTGTTTAGTCAAAGGCACAGGGCCTGACATTTGTGTGACAACAGATGCCAAATACAGACTTGCAAAGCTGCACTAAATGGCATGAAAAAAATTGATTGTGCTTAAAGGGAACTGGTTAGCAAGCATGTTCTATCATCTCAGCATTACCTGTGATGTAACTTGAAAGAGATGGGCAGTCCTCTTATTTGCTATGAGTGTGAATTTCTGCTAGGTGGAAATCAGTATCTAGTTTCAAAACACCAACTTCTAGCTGCCTAACAAGAAGAGAAAACTCAAGTTGGCTAGCTGAGCCTCAACATGACCAGGATCAGAGCTAAAAGTTATTAATAAGTATCTATTGGGAATTACAGTTTAAAAAAAAATCCAAAAGAGATGATAGATTGGTTTTCTGGCAGCATTGCAGCCCTACAGAAGTTGAATTTTTAGGCAGGTTCTCAGGAGGAATGATTCAAGTGCAAATAAGAAATCTTGATGCATTTAGCTTATAACCTGAGATCTCCAATGTGAATTTTTCTATGATCCTGTGATCCTGGACACGTAGACATGTGTAGTTTTTAGAAATGCATAGCCAAAAGGGACAGGTCTCATAATGATTGCTCCTACCCTGAGATAAAACTGTAGGGTCACAGATATGAATTCTTGCCTGGAGGGGCATGTGGGGCTTACATGTGTGCATCTGTGGAGCAGGTGTAATTTGTAATTTGGAGCAGATATAACTTGTATAATTTGTGTGGCCTCTCGGTACGTTGCCATTTGTGTGGCCTCTGGGTACAGTTATGCAAAGCAACATGTTTTAAGAGGTTTGCTGGAGCTGTACTCTAGCTCTTTCGAGATAGACTTGGGAAGAGGACTCCACAAAAAGTCAGCAGGAGCTGGTCTGAGGTTACCGCTTGGAAGAATCAAGCAACTCAGCTGCTTAAAATGCAAGATCCATGAGGCAGGCTTTAGCTTGGAGAAAAAGCACATAACTTTAGTTACTGCTCCTGGTACAAGAGCAGAGGATGGCTGGAGAAAAGTCAAGCCTAGCACCCCTGCAAAGGAATTTAATGAAGCGAGTATAGGGGTCTCTGTCCTCATCATTAGCATGTACGTGGGAGATTTCCTGTCTTTAACCATAACGTGGCTATTTCTCCCTTCTTGCTGTAAAATGTTGCTCTCCCCTTTTATACTTGTCACTTTTCCTTTATTTGTCCCTCTCAAGGTGATGGCTATCATAAGCAAAGGAAAAGCTTGGGGGAAA